CCCCTACCCCCCCCTTATCTACGCCCCTGACCATCTATCCAGCAAACACTGAATCTGTGCTTCAATAAGAAAGTCTTGTAGATTAAGTACACATGTCTCTGTGCATGAATACCAATAGAGACTTTGCTGTGTCCTCCGTCTACTTCCTGCATGACTAATTCACTAACGGTTATATTTTATATTTGTTCACCAATTGCTGACTTCTGACAGACGGCTTGGCTAAGCTGGTGACTTAGGTTGTCTCTACCACAGTTAAGCAATACAGTCTGGTCACCTTTCTACCTCTAACCTGTGAGTAAATGTGCAGCAAAATACTGACTTCTTTGTTCCAGCATGCTCCTCGTCTATATATTTGACTGCAGCACACTGGATTAGCTTTTAGTGCTGTTCTTCACTCTCCTAGCGTACAACTGACCATATTTGGATCAAACTTTTTTGCAAGTTTCCTACTGAATCAGATGAAATGTGGGTGGTCCTGCCAGCACCGACCAGCTGACAGAGCCCGTAACAACCAGTGACACAGACAGTGGGCGAAGCCTGATGGGGATGCTGAGGACCTAGTTCCCCATCGTACTCCAACCTCCTACTGCAAATCCTAAGTTAAGCAGACCTGATGAGGAACTAGTTCCTCTGTATCCCCATCAAACTTCCCTGTGATGTCGGTGGTCATATGGGGTTTAAAGAAGTGAAGGACACTGAGGAGACTTGTGAGATGGAGTGCCTATGCTGAGATCTATGGTGAAGGTTTTGGAAGGTGGAACAGGTACCTGTAATACAAGCATTCAGACAGTAACATGTTACATTGCACACTTTGTTTCTGCTTTAACTGGTGTCCGTTCTATATCTGCTGGAGTCCAGCTTTAAATTTGAAATAATGATTCTATCCAACTATAATCTAAAATAACCAACGCAATAACCGATTAGCTTTGTAAATTGATGCAAAGGGATCCTACAGCAATGTGTGTTGATCAGATGAGTGATAAGATAGAATTGTTGCATGGAGCTCTGATGAACTGAAAGGAGACAAACCTGAGATGCAGACAAAGAGCCGGTGAATGAGGTCATTACTGCTGTGGAAACGGGATCTGATCTTTTCTCTGGACGCAATCTTCGCAGCCTGCAAGGCCAGCTGTATTTCCTCCTGATCAATGTCATCTGATGAACAGGAACCGGTCATCAAGCTGCTGGGAGAATACAGAGGTGAGAGAGAAAAGAACAAGGAGAAAAATGGACGGTGAAAGGCAGCCACACTGGTAGTAATGTGTTATTAGAGATGATACGGAAAAGGTCACCAGTGTTCCCCATATGCGGGAAAGGAGAAATACAGATTTCTATCACAGAATAACAAGTCTGACAGATGCCTGTTCTCAGCTGTCACTCCTAGAGACGTGAAGTGACAATCTTACAATGAGATGCCAAGGCAGCAGATTGCTTTCCAATAAGATGGGTACTTACCTCTAAGCATAGACTGAAAGCCATCTACATCCAAGAAGAAAAAACTTTCTACAAAGTCACAGCTGAGGATATTCAGCACTGGCTTTCAAATTAGGTTTTGTTTAAAAGGAGAATTCCACCTGTATGTATGTTTCCAGGAACAAATCTAGTACAAACAGAAAATGGTGAGACACGCTAAATGGCTCAACAATTTCTGAAGTGAAATGGGGTACATGGGTGGTACAAGATACTACAAGTGCATCAGATTCCTCAACAGTTCCTCCAAGTACCAAACCTAAATGAAAGGCTGTGTCTACAATCTTAATAAAAGGCCTTCGTTGCTTTCATTCACATATGTGGAAGCTACATACTTACTCCTGGACTCTATGGGGGTATTCAAACTAGAATATGTTGTTTGGTGTGAATGGAAGAATCTGTAATTTTTTTTTAGGCTGAATAAAAAAAAAAAAAAAAAGGATATAACCGTGTGCATCTAGCTTCAGTCTGGACTTACCATGAGATGCATGGCAGAGGACTGGTCTTCAGGACTCCCTAAGAGTCACTGTACCTTGAACATGAACCTTCAGGGCTCTCCATGAGTGGCTTTACCTTTGAAGTGAACCAGTCTTCAGAAAATACTGCACAAACTGCTGTTATACAAGACACTGAAGTAAACTCTCCTGTATCTTGGGATGCTACGTGGGGACCATCATAACTGCACACACACACTAGTGACATTGTACCCTGGGATTGGCCAAAAACAGACATTCAACATACAAGAAAAGTATTCGATGATGAACATTTTAGTGGCCCCTCAAGCTCATCAATAGAGCAAAGATTGGATGCAGAGCAGGCACTAATTTTAAGTATTGTAACAGTATGTTCCATTGCTGTGTTTGCTTAAAGTTTTAAGTCTGACTTATGCAAGAATGTTTGCTAAGACTCCTGACTATAAAGCTGCATCAAGTTGGTTCCATTCAAACCAAGCCAATATCCTAATCACACTTCCAATTAAGAAATGTGCTAGGTATTACAGCCTCTTCACCTTCCCCCTAGACTTTATGAGCATTTCATGGGGTCGTATACACAAACGGATCTGTGTTCACTTATCTATTAGATGACATTATGGTGTATCATATTGAGGTCAATAAAGGGGGAACGATGAGTTATATGACTAGGAATTAAGACTAAAAACAGGAAAACATACCAATAGAGCAGTGGGCTATTTTGGATAGTTTCTGGCCCTATTGACATAAGAAATGTACAGGTTATGACACTATACCACTTATGACATCCTGTCTGGGTACCCAAGTCAGCTTTAGATTGTTGTCCTCTGTAATTCTAGAGAATTAGATGTGGTGGAACCAAAAGACGCCAAATCACTCCTTTACTTCAAGCTTTGCTTGTTTAAAAAAAAAAAAAATATCGAACGAACTTTCCAAAAACTATATTGTTTGAACTTCTACTGGTATATGGCCAATGTTACTCCATTATCGTGATCGTGGTCTTTTTTTCTATGAGTGTCCTCTGTGTGCGGACCATAACAGGCCATTCCCCCCCCGATGTCTCACTAAGTTTGTGTCTCAAGTACAGACAACGCTGTGTACAGACGCATGTGATTCCCTCTGTTTAATTATACACCAATAAATTCAGCTGCCTTGCAGCGCCAGCATGATAGATATATTTATTATAGAGGCCTAATCCTGAAATCAATACAACTACAAGCAACATGTCAGCATCCAGAATCACTCTGACGGTGTGAGCAAAAACAATTATGTGTCATTAATAGGATTAGCAACTCTAAACAATTAGTCATTTCGGGCAGCTGACACAGACACTCTTTTCACTGGAGTTCAATAGCAGCCAATGCTCCTTACCCAATGATTCAGCATCGGCTGAGCTGTTCAATAATCAAGAGGAGCTGCTGCATACTGTACATAGCTGCACATTACTACAAGCACTAGGATGGGTTGATAGACACACATTAAATCACCTATCTGTCCCTGGGGTCACCATATCGTCAATATGGGGGGGGGGGGGGCCCAAACGGGGCCCTGCATGCAACATGTTATACATGTCAATGAAAAACGTGGCTACAGACACAGCCAGTTCACAGAGACATTGAAGTAGGGTGAATGCAGACAAACTATTCCCAACTCCCGAAACTAGGGATGCGCCAATACAGGTTTTTCGTGTCGAGTACGAGTACCGATATTTGTCTTTCGGTACTCACCGATAACGAATACTGATACCTATGCTGGCATGGAATCGGCTTTCCGGGCAATCTGGAAGCCACTCTGCTTCCTAATTGGCTGGGAAGCCGGCTCAATGCCAGCAAATCCGCATCAAGCTAGCCAAATAGGAAGCCAAGAGGCGGGTCATTACCCGCCTCTCAGCTTCCTGATTTGATCAAGCTAGCCAAATAGGAAGCCAAGAGGCGGGTAATGACCCGCCTTTCAGCTTCCTAATTGGCCAGGAAGGCGGCTACATGCTGTTTGTTGGGGAAGACGGCTTGGCCAGGAAGCTAACCTCCCAGCCAATCAACATTGAGCCAGCTTCCTGGAAAATCAGGAAGCTGGGTCGTTACCTGCAGCCCCACTTCCTGATTGGCCCGGGAAGCTGGCTCAATTTTACCTCATGACACTGCCGGTCAGAGGAAATATCCCTCTAGCCACCGGGCTACTGCATTGGGTTTCTCCACCGTCAGAATACCCCAACAGTAACACCAGCTGATTGGTTGCAGTCACTGTTACACATATATATATAAAGTTTTGCCTAGAGTTTTTCTTTCTTTAAGTTTGCAGATATGTCCCGTGGAAGTCTAAACTTTTCCTACGGTCACACTTCTGAACAATGTCTGACCTTTCTGAGCGGTCTAAACAGCTGCCCCAATCCAACAGAAGTGTATCTAATAGAATAGTAGCAGCTGCAGACAGGAGAAAGGACAGATATGGCACCTTATCTCACTTCAGCAGCCTCTACTTCCTTTCTCAGCTTGATCTGTCAGCCGCTGTGCAGTGGATGATGGGAATTTAATATGAAGAAAGATTATAGATAACAATCTGGTAATTGGCACGGCTGTGACAAATCAAATCTAGATTTTATTTATTGTTTTTTTTTCCTGTTAGCCAAGTTTTCACCTACTAAAATAAATGATCTATATGTTCTATGCGTATGTATTATGGGGGATCCATCAGAGTGGGGGGACAGAAAATTATTAAGTATTGTCTGTCATAGGAATATGTGGAAGATTCACTTTAAGCTTGGCATTTCAGGCGAGCTTCTATTATCAACTAAGACGGGCACACTAAGTAGAAGCTAATGTTTTTAGGTTCCTTTAAGTCTACAAACAATGTTTTTATTATGAATAGAAAACACTGATCAGAAATATTTAATACAGAGTATACTCATGACACAGTCTTTGCGGGTTTTCTAAAGAGAGCACAGACAAAGCAGATTACATTGCACTTGGTGATGCAAGGCTTGGATGCAGCTGCTCAGCCATGAAAACCCATTCCATGAAGCTCCCTACGCACTGTTGTTGTGCCAATCTGAAGGCCGCATGAAGTTTGGAGGTCTGTAGCTATTGACTCTGCAGACAGTTGGCGACTTCTGCACACTGCGCTTTAGCATGCGCTGACCCAGCTCTGTCATTTTACGTGGCCTACCACTTCGTGGCTGAGTTGCTGTTCCCAGTTGCTTCCACTTTGTTATAAAACCACTAACACTTGACCGCGGAATATTTAGTAGCAAGGAGATTTCACGGATGGACTCATTGCACATGTAGCAATCTATCATGGTACCCCGCTTGCATTCACTGAGTTCCTGAGAGCGACCCATTCTTTCACAAATGTTTGTAGAAGCAGTCTGCATGCCGAGGTGCTTGATTGTATACTATACATACATACATATATTATATGTTTATAGAATGATATTACTGTCTGAATAGAACTGTATAAGTATGGAAAACCAATAAAAAACTTTGAAAATTAAAAAAATCAGTATACCGCGAGCTATACTGAGCTTTGGGTCACGGGAGGATGCTAGTTTATGTCCTCCCGTGACCCTTAAGAGAACTATGGGGAAAACAAAACACTTACCCCATAGTTCTCTTTTAAACATATCAACCCTGCAGCAGACAGAATCTAGAGCAGCTTTCCATGGCAACCCATTCATTTTCAAAGCTTAACTGAACTAAAAAGAGAGAAGCTGACTTGTTACTATGAGCAACTGCTCCAGAATCTGCCTGCTCCCATTTTGATAAATTCCCCCCACTGTGCTGGAAGGTGTTCCATCTCACAAAGTTTACATTAGAAGGTAGTATGGCTGCCAACTTTCTGCTGCAAAAGAAAGAAGGGTGAGAGGAGCTGCGATTTCAGTGCCTTTGTTGTGATCTTTGAGAATTAATTTCTCCCCAATGCCTTTAGCTACAGAGGTATATGACAGATTGTTTTAAAGTGCTTTACCACTTGTTGAGATTATTTAAAAACTTTTAATGTGCTTATCCGGTCACAGGTTCACTTTATTTACTTAAGATACTTACACAAAAAACATTTTAGGGATCAAAAATGCTCTCTTTTCTTGGACTTCCATTTGGTGCAAGCTTGTCCTGGGTCTGTAAATCTGATCTGCTAGTTCAGGAAGCCAGTAATGGCAGCCCATATATTTCCCACGTGACAAGTGGGCTTTGGAGAACCAGAGCAGGTTATAACATTTGATACTACAGGGGATGATATGCAATAACAACATA